TTATTTATTATTTATATCTTACCTCTAGGTCATATATTTCGTTCTTTTGGTATACTTTTCATTTTTATGCAGACGATACACAAGTTTATATCTCCACAAAACCTACAACATCGCACCCCCCTTCTGACCATACCAAATGTTTAAATGAGATTAATATACAGATGACTAATCATTTCTTAAAGTTAAATGCCAGTAAAACTGAAGCTCTTCTGGTTGGCTCAAAATCTATTTTATCCAAAGCTCAATTTTTTACCCTGTTTGTTGATAACTCCCCAGTCAATTTCTCAACCCACTTGAAAAGTCTTGGGGTTATACTAGATGGTATGCTCTCATTTAGTTCTCAAGTTAGTAATATCTCACGTTCTGCTTTTTTTCTTTTGCGTAACATTGCAAGACTTCGCCCTTCACTATCTCAACAAAGTACTGAAGAGCTTATTCATGCTTTGGTTACATCACGGATTGATAACTGTAACTCCCTTCTCTCTGGCATACCTGATAAACAACTACATAGACAACAGTTAGTTCAATTCATCAGCTAGGATAGTTACCTGCTCGCATACTTCTGATCACATAACTCCAATTCTCTTTCACATTCACTGGCGCCCTGTTTACTACCGTATACAATATAAAATCCTCCTCTTAACATACAAAGCTCTTCATAACCTGGCCCCCCACTATCTTTCTGATCTTCTTCATTTGTACACTCCTTCACGCTCACTGAGATCATCTTCTGCTGAACTGTTATCTGTCCCACACTTTAAGATAAAGTCATTTGGTGGCAGGGCTTTTAGTTGTACAGCACCAAAGTTATCGAATTCCCTGCCTTTGCACATTCGCCAGATGGATTCTATTTCCAATTTTAAATCTCAGATAAAAACGTTTTTGTTTAGGATAGCTTTTAATGATTCGCAGGTTTAATTTTATGCTGATTGTTATTTTTACTGCTTGTATTTTTATGATGTGCTTGTTATCTGCTGTAAGGTGTCCTTGAGTGCTTTGAAAGGCGCCTAAAAATAAAAGGTATTATTATTATTTTTATGTGCATATGTTTTAATGAATATGTTTAATGCAACACAATTGAGCATTTTTACAATTTATGCACATATTGGTGTTTTCATAATTTTTTTTAAACAATATCTTAAATGGTTATAAAAATAAGTGGTTGGAAACATAAGTAGCTAAATTATGTTTTCAATAATTTATTCAAATTGTTAAGGTGCAGTCACATTATATTTGTTTGCACCTTTTATACCCAGAGAATGAATTAAATGTTTGTTTATGCAAAGTTGTTTCGCATTTAACTTCAGCATTTATCTTTGCTTAACAGTGACCTCCAAATTTGTATCACACAAAGAGGTGAAGGCTTGGCTCAACCTCTTAACTCAATTAAGAGAAACTTTGAATCTGCAGTGTTGAAGTAGGCTTTATTTATTTTTATTTTTTCAAATATTGTATTTGTATACACTCACCGGCACCTAATACTGGGTTGGACCCACTTTTGCCTTCAGAACTTTTTTAATCCTTCGTAGCATAGATTCAACAATGAACTGGAAATATTCCTCATAGGTTTTGGTCCATATTGATATAATAGCATCACGCAGTTGCTGCAGATGCGTCGGCTGCACATCCACGATGAGACTTTCCCATTCCACCACATCCCAAAGGTGCTCTAATGGATTGAGATCTGGTGACAGGAGGCCATTTAAGTACAGTGAACCCATTGTCATGTTTAAGAAACCAGTCTGAGATGATTCGCGCTTTATGACATGCTGGAAGTAGCCACCAGAAGATAGGTAAACTGGGGTCATAAAGGGATTGACATAGTCAGCAACAATACTTGGGTAGGCTGTGATATTCAGAGATGCTCTTCTAGAGGTGGCTGTGTGTGAAAACCCCAGTCAAACAGCAGTTTCTGAAATGCTCAGACCAGCCAGTCTGGCACCAACAACAATTCAAAAGTCACTTAAAATTACCTTTCTTTTCCATTCTGATGCTCGGTTTAAACTGCAGGACATCGTCTTGACCATGTCTACATGCCTAAATGCAATGAGTTGCTGCCATGTTATCGGCATTAATGAGCAGTTAGACAGGTGTACCTAATAAAGTGGCCGGTGAATGTATAATATTAGTTGATTTGTGTTTTAGAAAAATAAGTAACAGACAGTGTTTATAACTACAGTGAAAGATGCCTTGAGGAATGCAAAACAATAGCAATTTTCATTCGTGTTTTCGGATCTTTGAACCTTTAGTTTGATATCTTGCTCTCTTGTCTATTTTGCACAATGGTTGATCCTGGCACAGCCGACAGATAGTTGCTCTGGGCTGCAACTCTATATGCTTCTCTGACATACTTCACTTCCCTATAGCTCATTCGTGACAGTTTCATGGGATTATTTTTGCTCTCCAAATGCACCTCTAAAAATGAATTGCCTTGCAGGTAACTTTGTCCACGTAGCCCTCTTTCCTATACCTCCCTATTACTTTTTCTACTATATGTCTGCTCGCCTCTCCACACAAAAATGCTGAAGGGGATTTTATGCTAATTCTAGTATATAGTACCAGTAAGTCATTGTTATCTAGTTGGCTAAACTACTAAATTTAAATGCATAATTACACAAACACATCTGGGATTTGAAGACAAAACTGCTATGTTTAATGCATTACTGTAAGAGAGAGCAGATAACTGGATATTTTTCCCCCACACAAAAAGCATCTTTATAAAGCATCAAATAAACCCCAGTACTGTATGTTGCAATTAACTCCTGAGTTAATAAGTCTATATACAGGATGTAGCTAGGATGTGAAACCAGATGGTATACAAAAATTTAATCCTAAAATGTAAATGAATAATTTCAAATTAGAGCCTAATATGTACATATTGAATCAGGTGTAGCTGCAGAGCTTGTTGTGACAATGTTTTGCTGTGATGAGTTAGAGAGCTGGAAGATACTTTTTTTTTTTTTTTTTTTTTACAACTACTACTGCTTCTACTACAGCCACAACCACGACTACTACCACTAAAGTGTCTACTAATACTGATACTCTTACAACGACTACTACTACTGATACTACTATAGCGTTTGCTACAACTAATACAACAACGTCTACTGCAGCTACTACTACTACTACTACCACTACTACTACTACTACAATCACATAGATACTTTTGCTATTTAATCGATGATATCTCTAATGGTACTTGACATTAAGATCACAGAAGACATTTCTAGGAATGACACAAAAAGAATAACTGCAACAAAATAAGAGGCTGAAACTGAAAAAAAATCTAAATTCAGCCCATATAACAAATAGTGTAATATCTAAAAAAGGGAAAATGAGCATATTACGACATAATGCTTACTTAAAAACCCATTTCCCATGACTTGTAATATTTCTAGGATGTGGAAATCTCTGCAAATTCTGCATTTATAGGGTTTAAGCTGTGCAGAAATGTATGAGTCATATTATGTCATTAGGTTGTTTGCATGTGGTTTCTTCCATCTGTACCCCTCAAGCAACAAAAAACTGCATGGTACTTGAAAAATAGTGTGGCTAGACAGTGGCTGATATGATAATTATAATGTAGTTTATTAATATGTCAACAGAACTTTGATTCTGATGGGCTAAATTTGCATTTTTAAATGATAAATGATAATGTTCCAGGAAGGTGTTCATTAAATTGTAAATTATATTTATTTATATATATAACGTGCCATTTTTTAATACACTCTCAGAAATAAAGGTTTGCAAGCTGTCACTGAGCTGGTACTTTTTCAAGTTACACTTTTGTACTTATAGGGTGCATACTAATACCTCAAAAGTATATATTATACTTAAAAGTTTTAGGAGAAACACTTTTGTACTTTTTAGGTACCAATATGTATACTCTTAAGGCATTAATATGGTACCACCCCAGTGACAGCTTGCACCTTTTATTTCTGAGAGTGCAGTGTTATTGATTATTATTTGTAATGTTAATTGTAATTAATGGTAATATATATGTGCACTCTGCTGACATCTTTTAATTAATTGAAATAATTAAATTAGAATTCAGTCTTTTATGACATCTTCAATTTTAAATATGTGCAATTTAATTAATTTATTTACTCACCCTCAATTTGATCTGAACCTTTATTCTAAATATAATATTGACTATAATATAGATATATTTATTTTTTTTTTGTTATTCTGCTTAACACTAGAAGATATTTTGAAGAAACCTTAAAACCTGTAACCATTGACTTCCAGATTAGGAAAAATATGGGTATGAAAAGTGAAGGGTCAGCAAATGATGACAGAACTGTCATTTTAGGTGAACTATCCCTTTAAGCAACATTTTCCCTTTTTAAAAGGGTCTTACTTTTTCATTGGTTATTTAATCATTCAAAAAAACTATCAAAACCAACTCATTCAATTTGTTGATTTACTTTTTTTTAAACAATATACAACGCTTTAAAAAATATGTCATAGTCTGAAAATGAAACATAATATCTGTTCAGCCAGGGGCGAATTAGATTTTTGCCCCAACATTACCTAGTACTGGGCGTTTTTACTTTTATGCTAACAAATAAATCAGATTTTTAAAGAATTTTTAAATATTGGCTGATGAATCATCATCATCATCATGATGCATCATCACCATCATCATCATCATTATAATGCATCATCACCATCATCATCTGCACATACTGAACTTTTGTAGAAATGTTTAAAAAGTAAATACACAGTGTTTTAAGGGGACATCCTCCATATTTTGGGACATGATTAGTATTTGGAAATCACTGAAACTCAAGACCACAGTCAATAAGCTGAATGAATGAAATGTAAAACCATGAAATGTCTTCGAATTGTTGCTGTGTGGTATGATTACCAATGCATTGGCTATATCGTCTATGTATGTGCGTCAGAACATTCTATGCTTACAGTGAAAGTGAAGGTGAATTTACCTATTTATTATAGGAAATTGAAAATCTGTAGGGAAGAGGGAGCGATAACTTTACCTTGTTGGGATCTTGACCCTCAGGTACCGGTCGATAGCTATAGCTAGCAGGGCAAGGATGGAACTTTGGGTCAGAACCAGCACCGTGCACGCGACCAGCAGACAGCTGTAGAAGTGAGTCTGGAGTCCGATGCTTATAGTTATCGCCAGCGGTATGACCAGCGCTCCCACTGCAATGTCCGCGAGCGCCAGGGAGACAATGAAGCAAAACGTAGTATCTCTCAGGGATTTATTAATTTTTACCGCCCAAACCACCATGACGTTTCCAATCACGGATGACACGGCGATCACCACCTCCATGCCCATGTAGAGGGCTTTGGCCGCGGAGAGATCCTCGGGCATTCTTGCACTCGACGGGGATCGATAAGGCGATGAATATCCACGCGACAATGGAGCTTCAAGAGAAAGTGATGTGTAAATTGATTAACTGTACTAGTCCGGTGAAAAATCCTTCCATTAAAAGCACTGCTCCTCAAAGGAGAGGCTGTATTCCACACACGCGTATGTGCATTTGGAAATGGGACGCGAGAAGAAAAAAATCAGACAAACTTAAGAAATCTTGCGCTGAAAATATCGCCCAGTTTTGGGTGTTTTCTTTTAGGTTCCTACAGCGCCTCCTCATCGCATCCACCTGCGCTCGTGCGAGACAGGCGCGCGCCGATTATTCATCCCACAATCATACAAATAAATAAATTTCTTCGTGTCACCTACAACTGTCCGGCAGTTCTCTAGACGTACAACCCGTGGGGAAATAAATTAAAAGACGCACCATATTTGTCCCTGGATATGTGAAACAAGAGCTTGTCCGGCGCGCGGGTCGTTTCCAACACTCTCGCGAGCTATGCGGTGCCCCAGAATAGATGTCGATGGGTAGAGCCCTTTGTCTCACCCATACTCGGCCAGTTCGCAATTCGGGGAGCAAAATAAGTCAAACTACCCAGTGTAGATTATTTTTTGTAGGGATGTCATATCCAAAGGTCGTCCTGCTTTCCTTTGCCGGGAGAAAACAGCACCATCCCAAACGGCGCGCCGTCTATTTTGGTTTCCTCCTTGAGAATGGCTGAGGGACAAACCTGCGTTTGCCACTTTCTTTTTCAGAGAGCCTCAACTCATTTTCTCAGCATTGTTTTCGCCTTCAGTCTTAGTTTATCTCTGGCGCTCGAGAGAAAGTGTAATAAGACTGACAGTGCCCAGTTTATAGTGTGATATAATGTGCACTGTGGTAGATATGAGATAGACATTGTGCTCGTGAGAGTGAAAGGAAGTAGGAGGTGACTGTCACAAATGAGCAGTGACTAATTTAAACACTCAATCGACGCTCCGTGATGTAGGCTGAACGTATTGTGAAATAAATTAGCAATTTTTCAGCAAAACTAATAGGTTTAATAATGTACAATAAGCTTAATGTGCCAACTGAGTGATAACAGTGAGCTCTAATTATCTCACAGATGAAGCCCATCTAATGTAGGTACTCAAAATGATGTATTTGCAAGGCCCTTTTGATGTTTGAGTGTTAGATGGAGGATTGGAGCTGGTTGTTCCGCTTTTTATTACGTTGAATATTTATCAGTGTAGGTTTATTTTTGAAAATCCGTTTTCTTCTCATAAATTGCCACAATGGAACCTGTCATTAAATTATCAGGGCTTTTATATCAAGCTGAATTACTTTAATTTGTATGGAGGTTGCAAAGTAGCTTTGCGATAATAAACAGAAAAATTAAAATAAAAAGAAAACATCATTTGATACGAGACAAATTCAAATTCTGCTGTAAAGCAGATGTGAAAAGACAACAATGGCATCTTTTAGCTCAAACCAGACTGTTGGTTCAGTTGAATAATGTATTAATCAGTATTTTTAGGTTTTTGTGTCTAAACTCTTCATATACGTGTACACTCCTCAAAAATCTATCTTTAAAATTATTTATCATATTTTTAACCGGAAGCTATACAATAATAAATATGTGCATATACATTAGATTAGTCAGTACTGAAGCCAAATCTGGAGCTAATCTAACAAAACAACTTACCATAATGGTCCAAAAACTAGTACACTCAAATTTATGTTATAGAAAAATATTAAATATAAATTTTAAAAAGAGGAAAAATCAAGAGAAGCAAAAATATTGAAAATTGGTTGAAATTTTGTAGGTTGTATTATTATTATTATTATTATTTTTTTTTTTGCAATATTTTGCTTGAATTTAATTGTATTATATTTTAATTTCTAAATATTTTTGGTGACTAAAATATTATTTTAATAAATATATCTATTTAATAAATCTGTTTTCTTTAAATACATTACCTATATTCACTGAGAAATGGATAAAAATATATTATGAGCACTGTAGCTAAAATGTCAATTGAAAATATTAAATGTATAAAAAGATTCATATCATTCCAATAAAGGTTAAAAAGGGAGTTTTCGCAATGGTGCTTTTGAAGAGTTAATCTGGTTAGGTGAAAAACTAATCTGGTAATCTGCTAATGGTAAACAGCCATTTGTTTCAAAGTGTGAAGGTCTTTTGAATAATTAGTGATAATGTCCTCTGAGAGCCAGAGTTAAAGAACACAAGTCATTCGGGTCTGGCCAGTATGACCAGACACTAGAAAAGTGGGTTTTAAATTTCTCTTTTAAATTTTTCTTTCAAAAAACAAGGAAATGAGGCTCTGGTTCCCCAGCCAATGGCACCCTGCGTTTTCTTAGATCTGACAAAATGGAAGATTGAGCCATCTAACTATAATCTTAATCATAATTTTCAGGCTTAGGGCCTACTCACACGATGCTATCCAAACAGTGCCCAGGCCCGTTTCCCGGATCATTTGAGAAGTGTGAGTGCACTGAATTGGGCGCTGAGCGCGGTTCACTTGGTCTTTGGCTCTGTACGCTTGTATGCGAGTGCAAAAAGCCGAAACTGAAAGCGAGACTTGACTTTTACGGGACTGTTTCATATAGATTAATTAATCATTCCTACTGTTCAGTGAACGCAAACCCCTCACTGCACGACAGCTGCACACCTTAAGCAAACCTCCTAATTCCTGCAGCACGAGGACTTTATGATTGTTGATGAGTGTCAAAAGTGGCTGATCTATTCGGCGAAATATTTGACTGCGTGTCACTGCATATTAAACAACTTAAACGAAATAACTAAAGAAATCTCCACTATGCTGAACGAGAGTGCTTACTGGACAGTGCATCATCGATGATGTAACGGTGCTAGGCCCGAATGTAATGTGAGTGCGGGCTGTCTGGTGAGACGGTAGGGGGGACAAGTGTGCTTTGGCCCGGTTCACGGCAACTGTACATAGTGTGAGTACGCTATTTAGAGGTTGCCACAGCAGGGTGAACAGCCAACTATTCCAGCATATGTTTTTCTATAGCATATGCCCTTCCAGCTGCAACCCAGTACTGGGAAACACCCATACAAACATTTACACACATGCGCACACACACTCATACACTACGGCCAATTTAGTTTGTTCAATTCACATATAGCGGATGTCTTTGGACTGTGGGGGAAAATGAAGCACCCGGAGGAATCCCACTCTAACACGGGGAGAACAAGCAAACTCCACACAGAAATGCCAACTGACCCAGCTGGGACTCAAACCAGCGACCTTCTTGCTGTAAGGTGACATTGCTAACCACTGAGCCACTGTGTAGGAAACAATTAATAATAAAAACAATTTTATAAAATGTTTAAATTTTCCAAAATACTTCATTCTATGAGATTCTGAGCCTCCGCAAGGTCAAAATGTACTGGTAATGCTATACTTTTGTGGACATTTGGTTCCCACAATGTAAGAAATACAAGGTAAACACACACACACACACACACACACACAAACACACACACACACATAAATCACAGCACGTCTGTGTGTTATTATTGTGGATCAGTAACTGAGCCTCTGTCTGTGGCTAACAAAAACTCACATTTCGGAGGGTGAATCATAATGTAAAAGGTCCAGGTCAAAGCCTCTCCAACTTTAGAGCGTGAGAGTAGAGAAAAAAGCACAAAGCCTCTCCATGCTATTTGTAGGTGATTTAGCAAGTAGAAAGATTCATAGGATGAGAAGGCCGGCTTTACCGCAATGCCCGACTCATTTCCATAAGTGAAATTTCTGGATGATCCATCATGGGCAGGGAATTCATTCATACACTTCACACTGAATTACGACATAAGATTTATCCTGGTGATTCTAAAGAAATAAACGTCATACACCAACTCTGGAATACACTGGAAGTGCTTTCATGGAGCAGGATTTCGTTTTAAGGCACCTTATTGCCTATTCAATTTTTTATAGATTCATTGTACAAAAAATAAAAAATAAAAATCTGGGCCAATATTTTATTAGGTACATCTTACTGTTCATTAACACAAATTTATAATCAGCCAATCACATGGCAGCAACTCAGTGCATTTAGGCATGTAGACATGGTCAAGACAATTTAATGCAGTTCAAACCAAGCATCAAAATGAGGAAGAAAGAAGATTTAAGTGACTTTGAATGTGGAATGGTTGATGGTGCCAGACGGGCTGCTCTGAGTATTTCAGGAACTACTGATCTACTGGGATTTTCACGCACAACCATCTTTAGCGTTTACAGAGAATGGTCAGAAAAAGGGAAAATATCCAGTGAGCAGCAGTTCTGTGGGCATCGCCTAATTGATGCCAAAATGCCTTGTTGATGCCAGAGGTCAGAGGAGAATAGACAGACTGGTTCAAGCTGATAGGAAGGGAACAGTACTCAAATAATCACTCCTTACAACCGAGGTATGCAGAAAAGCATCTCTGGATGCACAACATGTCCAACCTTTAGGCGGATGGGCTATAGCAACAGAAAACCACACCAGGTGCCACTCCTGTCAGCTAAGAACAAGAAACAGAGGCTACAACTCACACAGGCTCACCAAAATTGGAAAATAGAAGATTGGAAAAACGTTGTCTGATCTAATGAGTCTTGATTACAGCTGCAACATTCGGATGGTAGGGTCAGAATTTGACATCAACACCAAGAAAGCATGGATCCATCCTGCCTTGTATCAACGGCTCAGGCTGCTAGTTGTAGTGTAATGGTGTAGGGGACATTTTCTTGGCACACTTTGGGCCCAATAGTACCAATTGAGCATTTTGTCAATGCCACAGCCTACTTGAGTATTGTTGCTGACCATGTCCATCCCTTTATGATCACAGTATACCCATTTTCTGATGGCTACTTCCAGAAGGATAACACGCCATGTCATAAAGCGCAAATCATCTCAGACTGGTTTCTTGAACAAGACAATGAGTTCACTGTACTCAAATGGCCTCCACAGTCACCAGATCTCAATCCAATAGAGC